AACAGTGACTCATGTTGGAGACCGGAGCAGTAAACAAGATGGTAAATTTACTGGCTAGTGGCTGCTCAAAAAACAAGATGCAAATGTTTTCTGATCCTCTCCACAGTCACAGTGCAACATCTGGATTGTGCCACATTAATCTACCAGGTTTAACACAGCTTAAATGCAAAGCAGGCAATGAAAAGCATCTCATTAAACAGAATAAATTATGTATGCTATTGAATTGATGGTTTGCTTTGAATCAGCCCAGGCTACAGGAAAATTAAAAAGCTTGTTTATTGCTGGTCTGAAAGCTCACACAGAACAATAACCATGCCACAACCACGACTGAGTCACAGGATTGGGGGTGGCATTTTTAATCTTTCAACACTGCACAAATAAACACACATAAATTCACCATGGACTCGCATACAATCATAGCGGACATTGACAAACACACCAGTTTTTATTAGTAAATCTAAAGCATACCAAATCCCTTCTCAAAACAGGCAAGAAAAGAGATTCAATACTTTTAACCACGGCTATATACATTATGGAACACACTTTCTATGTCCATCCATCCATCTTTCTACCAGTTATTAGTCAGGGTCACAAGGCTTATGCAAGAATTTTAAATAGCTGATTCTATCAATAATTATTTTCAGACAATAAAGTGAAACGTTGCTGCTCTAAGAAAGGAGATGAGAACACTGACTGTATCTATATCCATAAGGCATCTCACACAAAAGTTTCAAAATTAACTGCAGACAAGATCATTCTGAGTAAATATGCAGTGCTGACCAGACTCTTACAAGCAGCACCACTTTGAAAGGTTTTTAGTCAATTTATAGTGAATGTATTTTAAGCACTTTGGAGAACATTTCACTGAAAAGCAATCTTTACAATTAGGGATGTTAACCGATGACCGTTTGACCGGTGGTTGACCGTATCAACGTTAACCGGTCAAAGTTGTCGGTAGTCGGTTAAAAAAAAAGTGATATCTAAATTAGGCTATTATAGACAGTGGACTATACGCTACTACAGTTAGCCATCTCATTCCTCATCTTTTTGTGTTAAGTGAACAAATTATCCCTCACACTCAATTTTTCATAACTCGCCTGTTTGTACTTAATAAACCAATAAAAACATTTGGCGCCAGGTCACAGCGTTTGGGTTCGCGCGCTCACAAGGTTTGCGAAAAGTAAAGGCAACAGGCTAAAACACTCGAGGTTAGAGCCAGGGCAGACGACAGGATGAAGCGTGCAAAGAAAAGTAGTGTGTGGGACCATTTCTACCTCAACTAAAGCGGCGTCTCTTCGGAGCTGTCATTTTCTTAAATGAGCCGTGGCAATGTTTCAAATGAGCTTCTAACCTAGACAAACGCCTTTATTTTCAAAGCGATCACCTTGTACCCAAACCATTTGAAACTAAGGAGCCATTTGTCCTACGATTACATACAACAAGCTCTTCGGCGCCGCGTTTGCGGGACTCATGTTTCGCGCTGTAGGGGATTTTAAAAAAGTGACGTGAGTGGCAGTGTGTGTGTGTGTGTGCGGGAGGCAGAGCGGCAGAGAGATGCGACAGAGTTGCGAAATTGCAGAAATGGCTGTTATTTCAAATAGCGTACCATATTTTAAACTAATCGGTTAACCGGTTTCAACCGGCTACTGAGGCTCGGTGGTCGGTCAAGAAATTTTTTAGTTTTCGCCATCCCTATTTACAATAAAGTATAACCAAATATGACAAAAATAATTATAAAGCATTTTATATACAAACACACACACACATATACACACACACACACACACATACACATATACACACACACACACACCATAAAAAATATATAACACATGTACTAATACAGGAAGTGACTATGAAACCAAATTCAGCTCAACTTCTCCTTGAAGAAACCCTGATAACACATAATAACCATAAAGAAAAGCTGGCAGACAGCAACAAGAAATTCTACTGTACAGCTTGTAACTTTGTAATTGTCATTACAGGCCTAAGTCAAAGTGCAAACTTAAGACCATGTGTAATATTCTCTAGTCAAATCTCATTTTGCTTCAGTAATTACATTTGCTGGTAAGATCCAGGCTTAGCCTGATAAAATTTAGATCAGTAATTTTTTTAAATGCTGCAGCAGAACAGGCCTAAAACCCAATAAAGAAAAGAAAGACATTGTTTAGCAGGTTTGTTCTAAATGCATTACGATTAATATGGCTGTTTATCTCAGCAAGCATATCACTGGGGGGATAAAGTGTAACATTTTACACTGAAATGTTCTGTAACATTGTTCCTTCCTGCAGAAAACTCTAAAATCCTCAATCTCCCCAAAAGACCACAGATTTCATTAATGGATTTCAAAAGGTTATTTTAAAAAGGTCAGTGACAGCACAGATTAATAGAGTAACCAAAAATGACTGTCCAACCCAAATTACAGATAAAAATTACATACAAAAATGCATGCCTGCGATACATCAACATCAGTTTGCTCAATGCAACCCCCAGCTCCATAAGGAGATAAAGAAGCAACTGGAGTTACTAAGGCACCACAAAGCTAAACCAGAAATAGTTACAACACAGCATGACTTTATACCGCTGAAAACCATACCAATACATTACCAATTTATGTAAAAGTGTCTACAGGAAACAACAAACATGCCCATTTCTTCTTCAGCGTATAAAAGTGCACACCAATGAAGGACAGAGACCAATGGCACCTGGACCTGATGTTTTCCAGCCCCACAGTAGTCATATTTAGCCAGGTCAAGAAAGAGAGAGGAGTACAGGTGAGCACAGATCCCAACTCAGCACATACAAGACTTCACACCTGGTGCTCCTGTCCAGGGCATCCAGAAAAGCTTCAGCTCTTTTGCCAGTGCACTAGCAAGTGCCAAGCACTATGGCTTTTACACTACCACATTCAACAACGTGCATGCTTCTCCAAAGCAAAGCAGCAAGAAACCTGATACTAACATCACCACAATGAATACTCTCAACCTCAGGGGTCTCTGGCTCACACCCACAGACAGACTTTTGTATGGTTATGACAGAATTTAAAATTCTACATTAATGCTAAGACTGTTTTATCCAAGGAAAAATGAAAAGGTCTCATAATTAAAGAAGCAATCCATGGCTAATAGCAGTATCGCGGTTAGAGATGGCGACTCATACACTGAAGGTCGTTGGGTTAAAACCCACTCCAGGGACTCTAAATACCTTTGAGCAACTTCAATTGAATATCTCCACTAAAATATGCCATTGTAAAAAATTCAGAAAAGACACAAATTATTAAAAACAACTAGCAAAAAACAGGAAATTTATATACTCAAATTCTGTTACGGTTTCTGTCTGTACCAGAATACGCCTCAGAAGAATAACATTTTAAATATGGGTAATAGCAAGACTAAATGCACAGGGCCACACATCAGGCATCGTCTTACCCTAGCACAAGTAACATGCATCACAAAAAAAAAAAAAAACGTAAATCCTTCAAGGCAAAACGAGCGCTCTTTCAGCGCCACAAATTAAATCTGACAGCTTTCAGGAGAACCCGCTCGTTAAATGCCTGCACCTGAACGCTTGCTTTTGGAAGCATCTAATTAAACACATTCGTGTCGTGCCTGAAAACGCCATATTCGTTACTGTCAATGATGAAGCATGTTTTGTGTACAAACATGTTACAATTTCGACTTTGTTTTCAAAATACGGGTTTGCAGGAGCACGGTCTCGTCTGAAGTGGCACGAGTGCACGGCTTAATTATGCAACAAATTAAGCTATTTTAAATTACAGTTTATATTTTGATTTTTTTTTTCCATCACTATAATCTTGCGTTTGCTTTTACAACCACAATACAAATATTTAAATAAACGTTTGTTTTAGTGGTTCAGTAAGAAAGAATGCAAACAGAAGCGGACATTAACCGTGTTTGAAAGTTGAAGCGGCGGCGAGCCGCAGCCATCGTGAGCCGAGGACGCTCCCCACACCTACCTCGTCTCTCATTTCGACTCCACTCTCCTGTTCCGCGCTGCACAGCTTTCTTTTATTTTTGTTCTCAGTCTTCTTCATGTTTTCACCACCAAAAGAAATAAAAAAATACAAGATTTTTATCTCGCAGTCGATGCTGAGAAGCACTCCTGTCAGGAGGGTAAAAAATGAACACCTGGCAGCTAACGTTTTAGCTAGTCCTCTAAAACGATACTTCGACTGCAAGCCGTGTCTTTTTCAGCCACACAGGTAAAAATGCAAACGCTAGTAAGCATGTTTTAATCTTGCACCGTCGACTGAAGCTTGATGAAAAGGGCGGCAGAGAGGCTGAGTCGCGGCGGGCTGTCAGCCGGGCGGTCGGTGCTAGCGGCTAACCGGCTAGCCGGCTAACGGGCGGGCTGGCGTCAGTTTGGATGCCGCATAATTCTTGGTCTTTCCTCCTCCCCCAGTTGGATCGGTTGCCTGTCCTCCCACGAAACGCCGCTCGAAGAAGAAAAAAAATGCAGATTTTTAAATCTGCGCCTGAATGACTTGAAACGTCTCACGATTCTCCTCACTCGACTGCGCTCGCGCGCCCCATGTCTCGCTGTCCTCGCGATCCCAAATCGTATCAGCCTCGCTGCACCAAAAAGCCCAAATTGCCAGCTTATGTCATTTTATTTATTTATTCAGTATCACTGCGCCACGTATGCTCCTCCACCTTCCCAAAACGGCTTCGATACAAAAACCCAGACTAAAAGTTCAATTCACTTCCATGTGTCAAAATGAAATGCAATCGCAGCGCTCTGGCTGATTTTCCACGCACACCGCCCGGTTCTTGCTGTCAGTGTGCAGGCGCGCCGTACAACATCCTGCAGCTGCTTTTACACGCTCAAGCCTATGGCGGCCGCCATATTGCCGTAAGACAGGGTGTTCTGTTGTCAAGTTCATGTGACCACGCCTTCGTGGCTACACAATTGACATAGACTTTTACTTTTGCCGTAAATCCGACCATACGTGTAAGGCGTATTAAATTCGTAATAAAATAACAGTATAAAACGTTATATTCGAAAATTCTTTGTTTTGCCTGTACGCACCTAGAAATTCTATATCGACAATTAATCTTTATTATTTAATAGATTATACAACATATATTATTTGGTTGAGTGGCACTGCAGCAATCTGACTACATGAACTTTATGGACTGACTACTCTTTATGGATAATGCACACTGCGTAAGACTGCGGCATATTTAGGTGCAACCTCAACCTTACATACTGTTCAGGGTTCGGACAACAGGGTAATTTTCATAGACACAGAAAGTTCCTACTCAGAAAATGCTGCAATTGCACAGCTCCCCAAAACCACCAAAGCGAGGCAGACATCTTTCTGTACGTCAAACCAAAGGTCGCCAGATGTTTCTCTAGAATGAAGACCGGGTTGGTGTTTCTGGTGATCAATTGGACACCGATGCAGCGAAAAAGTCCTATGTACTCTGAAATCGAATAACCGGAAAACGGTAAATCACTGGACAGTTACTATTGATTTCACCGACAAATAAAATATTTTAAAATGGAACATTTTATCGACATGTTGGCTGTGAATTGTCATTTCTCATTTTCCGAGTTCGTTGTGGTAATTTGTATGGTGAAAACAAGCCTAGACTAGTTTCAAACACTGGAACTGGTTTGGTATTTCGGTTATTGTGAAATGCGATCAATTAAATATTGTGCTGCTAACTGACCTTCGGTTCGAGAAAATGCTTTATTGTTTAGTAAGCACTTACATAAACAGTAAGGCAACTATTGCAAGGTCCGCGGAATGTATTAATATGCTGTGTTTGTATGATTGGCCTAAGTATTTTTTTTTCCTTTTTTTATTATTTCGATGAAGCAGTGCCTCAGCCTGATTGTCCTTCCTGCGTATGTTTTTCTGAAGGGTAGCACATATTTAAACTATTCCTTGCATTAATCGTGATAGTGGTACTGGCCTCTGCATAATCAGCAAAATCCGCTTCCTTTCCTAACATCCTCTCGACTTTTTTGAACCAAAATTTTGCGGAAACATCCATCCATTAAGTCAAAGTATCCATTTCAAAGAGTTTTATTCTAGACTTTTGCGTACAGACATACCACAATATAAAGAGAAAGGAGGAGCTGCAGAGTAATGTTATAAGAACAGCGGGCAGTACGTAAAACTAAATGGTTTCATAATCATGCTGCAGATGCTAGCCGCCGACCTGAAACTATTATTTAGCGGTTCAACCACTCAGAAATCAGCTGTGTCAATGGGAATAAAACCATGCTATGTGTATCACTACATAAATGTGGGAAAGCAAGTGTAAGATAGTAAAACTACAAAAGCAACCGATATTCATGTTAAGCGCTGTTATAATGGAAATGTAAGCATATGTGTCTGTGTTTTTGCAGATTTTCATCAATTTTGAAGTGCCATTTTACCAAAATTATTTGATTTATTACATTTTTCAAAAATAGAAATCCTTTAATTTATCTAAAAGTTAATAGAAGGTTTTCACTTAAATTAGTCATTTGCTTGAGTCTGAGCTATCCAATTTTCCGTCAATTTATGTTAATTGCATCCTGAATTAAATGTCATAAGACTTCTGAAACATGTGCAACCCGAAGCCATAATTGTACTTTTTATGAAAAAGTACTTTTTTTGAAAGTTGTCGTGCAGTTAATTCTGGGCCCTGGTGTGTCGCGTCCGGCGGTTACTGTGTGGATTAGGCTGGCCCAAAACGTAATTGCATCGTGCTGCTGCCCCCTACCGCAGCGTAAGGATCACGGCAGGTTTGCCAACTGGGCTCATGCTATCTCGCGGCGTGACGGGACTGCAAAAGGGACAAGTTATACCACGGTTTACGATTTAGTGAAGATCTTCACTTCTCCATGACAAGTGTAAAACTAATATGTCACCTGCAACACTGCAGCCTTTCTTTTAATCATTGTTATGAAAAGAGACGAAATCAATCAGAATAAGAGGGAAAATTCTAGACAGCTCATTAGCATAAATAACATAACTGTCGGTCTTTATGTAGAGTTTATTTGTGGCTTGAAATCCTAGCTGTTGATTTGACAATTTTCCAGATACTTAAATCTCACACATTTTACTAACCAAAACATATTTATGAAAGTGGATAGTCAGCATCTGGTGATCTTGAACGTCTGTTTGCAAGCAAAAAAATAAAATATTCCATCATTGTCCATTTTAAACACATGCATTTTGTTGTCTAAAATGGTGCAAGTCCATGGCCTTAGTAACAAGATTAAGCATGATAATGAAGAATCTTTTAGGGAAAGTCTAACTTGGTCTTTTAGCCTTTTGCATTATTTTTTTAATGGGTGTGGCATTTATGTTTTGAGTATTCTTGTTGGTAGAGAATACAGATTTTATAGATTTAACTTTTTATATACGGCATACAGAAAAATTTAAATTGTTTTTATTAACATTAGTTTAAATATAGACACCACAATAAAGAATAAATAGATGATAGAAAATGGTAAACGAAAAGTAGAAAAATAAAGAAGACATTGACAATGTGGGGTTTCACTCAAAATGCACTCTATGCTAAAAATTGTGTTCTTTTTATTAGACTGACTCTTCACAAACTGCAGGGTGATTTTTGCAATGTCCACTTTTGGACTTTGGGATCTGTAGACTGATGAAGTGGACCTATTGAGTAATGTAGGTTATTGGCATGTTTAAACCATTCTACATGGTCTTTGTTTTTTAATGTGCATCATGGATAAGGATTACAAGCAGCCAAAAGCTGAGTTCAATATAACTAAATAGATACTGTTTTATTATTAACCAAAATGGACAAAGTCTGTATTCAAATTCCTGGGTTCCTGCTTGTTGATTTAATGATAGCAGCAGAAGCTAAGTTCTCAGTGAATCTGCAGCACTAATGCAGTGGCACTGCTGGGTCCAGTTATTCAGGTGAGTGTTAATTGGCTAATCATACTTTTTAAAAAGATCATTAACATGTATTTCTGTATTAGCCCATGCATTTCTCCCTTGTTAAAGCAGACATCAGAAGTTTGTCTATTTCCAACTAAGAACCAACACCAGTGTTTGTGTTATATTCAGATGCAACTGCCTTTAAAAAAAAAAAGACATACATTTAGGAAAATGAGGGGGAAAAGTACAATCTTGCAGTTCATCATGTCATCAAAGTATGTTCTTAAGATGATAATTCCAAATTACGTCATGTGGAAACATTCCTAAGGTGGGCCATGTTCCAGTAATTTTTATATATTACAAGTGGCATTGTGTGTAAACAACCCTGTGATGAATTCCTCCATGCCTAGAAAGTCATTAGTGTTTGATTTTGCACATGTGTGGGAAGCTGCGCTGAGCGGTAAGTGATAAAATGCTGCAATATGCTGTGACATACGGTAAGGTTAAAAGGTTGGTGACTGTGCTTTCAGGATGAGGCTGTGCGTCACTGTGCTGGGGGTGTTAGTGCTGCTGAGCGGCAGCCTGGCTCTCGAGGACAGCTGCCTGGGGGGGGCGCATCACAAAAACGCTCCGGGCCCCGAGAGGAACATGAGGGAGTGTTTCACATACTCCAACTGTGAGTAGCCTTCAGCATTTTCACTGCACCATAATTAAAATGGTCCATATTATTTTCTTTCTGAATGCATGCAAATTTGTATTTCTTGTTAATTCTATGTCAGGGTTCTTCAAATCTGGACCTCGATTCCAAATCCAGGCCTTGTTTTCAGTTCTCCCAAGTACTTAGTTTAATAATTACTGATTCTCATTGGCCAGAGGCTTCACACCTGGCTGACAGGTAAAGGAAGGCTGGAAAATCAACAGTGCTCGGACCTTGAGGACCGTGATTTGAATAGCCCTGTTCCATGTAATTGTTTTCACATGTTCAATATACCAGAATCAGAATTCACTTTATTGCCAGTACGAATATACCAGAATTTTAGTGGTACAGCACCAAACATGAAATACCTAACAATATTACAAGATATACAGGAGAAACACTTCACAGAATACTATGTGTAAAAATAAGAATACAAAAATTTTACAGAAGACGATTGTTAAGAAGACAGTGTAAGACGATAACAAAATGCACAATAGACCTTTATTATGAAAGTATTACTATGAAAGGAATTTGAAGTCAAAAACAGGAACTTTGACTATTGCAGCCTCACTTCAATGGAGTGAACAGAATTAAGTATTTTCCACATAAATAACAATTAATGTATAACCTACATAAGTTATATTCCACTTAAAGCTTCCTGCTGTCATGCCAACTTCACGGAAAAGCTTGTCTCCCCGGTGACAAAGGTGGACAATACCAGTTGGATTACCTGTGGAAATCTTAGCGATCGGTAAGTACAAGGTCACATCAGACAGGATGGCAGACAGGAACAAATAAACACCCATGGCCTCCCTCCCCATCTCACAGAAAGCATTACAGTTTTTACAAATTACCACTGCAGGAAGGTGGGGGGGAGCTTTAACCGTGTTACAGTTGACTCAGTGGGTAATATGGCTTGCTAGGCAATAAATAAATGTATAATCTCCTTAATTATAAAGTCACAACCATATTCAAACTGTAATTCTTGGAATCATTATGACATTTAAATAACGGAATGTTTGCTAGGTTAAAGTTTGCCATGATCTTACAAATACACATAATTTCTGTCTGGGTTTTGTTTTTCAGCTGTGAGGCATTCATGAAGAAGATTGAATGCTTCTACCAGTGCTCTCCACACGCAGCCCACTGGGTGAACAAGGACTATCCTGCAGGCTTCCTGAATGTCCCAGTTTGCGTGAGCTTCTGTGACGGCTGGTTCGTACTGTCACCAGGCTGTCCACTGCCGCCCAGATCTTTCAGCTTTTGATTTTTTTGTTGTCTAATCTCTTCCTTTCTGACTTTAGGCTGGAAGCCTGCAAGGACGACCTGACCTGTGCTAAAAACTGGCTGACAGACTTCAAATTGGATATCGATGGCAACCACTGTCAGCATGACTGTGTGCCATTCAGCAAAGTATGAAATACATTTTTGTGAATATGGATGTGCTGCTTCTGTTCGCCACAGCGGATCATGTGTTTCCATCTCTTCCTGCCCTCTGCATCTCCCTCTTTCACACCAACCACCTGCATGTCCTCACCACATCCATAAACCTCCTCTTTTCCTCTTGCCTTGAAGCTCTATCCTCATCCTTCTTCCAACATACTCAGCATCTCTCCTCTGTACATGTCCAAACCAATGCAGTCTCGCCTCTCTGGCTTTGCCTCCAAACCGTCCAACCTGAGCTGTCCCTATAATATACTCATTCCTAATCCTGTCCATCCTCGTCACTCCCAACGCAAATCTTAACATCTTAACCTCTCCACTCTAGAGCATTTCTCCACCTCTCCAGTGTCTCCTCCACCTGCTCCCTACTCTCACTACAGATCATGATGTCATCTGCAAACATCATAGTCAACAGGGACTCCTGTCTCATCTGTCAATCTGTCCATCACTACAGCAAACGAGAAAGGGTGCAGAGCTGGTGACCCTTGATGTAATCCAACCTCCACCTTGAATGCATCAGTCACTCCTACCACAAACCTCACCGCTGTCACTCTGCCCTCATACAGTACATATCCTGTACTACTCTTGCATACTTTTCTGCCACTCCCAACTCCCTCATACAATACCACAACTCCTCTCTATGCACCCTGTCATAGGCTTTATCTAGGTCCACAAAGACACAATGCAGCTCCTTCTGACCTTCTCTACACTTCCCCATCAACACCCTCAGAGCAAACATTGCATCTATAGTGCTCTTTCCTGACATGAAACCATTCTGCTGCTCACTAACCATCACCTCTCTTCTTAACCTAACTTCCACTACTCTTTCCCGTAACTTCATGCTGTGGCTGATCACCTTCACCCCTCTGTAGTTACTACAGCTCTGCACATCACCCTTACTCTTGAAAATTGGTACCAGTACGCTTATTCTCCACTCCTCAGGCATTCTCTCACTTTCCAAGATTGTGTTAAACAATCTGGTTAAAAACTTCACTGCCACCTCGCCTAAACACCTCCATGCTTCCACAGGTTTATCATCTGGCCCAACAGCCTTTCCATTCTTCATCCTCGTCATAGCTGTCCTTACTTCCTCCTTGCTAACCCTCTGCACTTCCTAATTCACTATCTCTACCTCATCTAACCTTCTCTCTCTCTCATTCTCTTCATCCATCAACCCTTAAAAATACTTCTTCAATCTGCTCAACACACTCTCCACATTTGTGAGTATGATTCCATCATTATCCTTTATCACCCTAACCTGCTGCACATCTTTCCCAGCTTGGTCCCTCTCCACCCCCAAAAACATTTTAATAACGATGTCAGGTATACATGGACGGATGGGGGCAGCACTGTAGTCTCAAAATTCCAAGGTTGTGGGTTTAATTTAGTGTTTGTGTGTGGAGATTCCCTGGGTTTCTCTAGTTCATGAAGGTAGTTCCTTTAGTTGAAGTGATGTCTGTAAATTTCCCTTGGTGTGTGCATATCAGCTTTGTGATGGAGCAAAAAAAAAGAAAAAGAAATATGCTTCAAAAGGTTTGAGGACTCAGTCTCATTTGTAGGAAAAACAACTGTAAGTTTATAATGCTTATTCTTCTATTTGCGTAGATGTACAGCAACGGAACAGACTTGTGCAACTCCATGTGGGGCCCATCATTCACAGCAAGTTCATCAAATTGTGCCTGCCTGCAAATGGATGCTCAGGACAGTGTGGCTGTGCCTCATATGCTACACTCAGATTCCAAATCCAGCAGCTCTGCAGCCAGCCAGGAGAAGGCCTGCCAACACGTATGGCTCAGTAAGGAAAAATTTACAGGGAAGCAAGAGCAGTGAATCTACTTACTGCACACAAACACCCAAACAACCACCTACGCTTTTAAGGCACTGACCATCAAGCAGAATAATCTGCTTCAACGTGTCTCAACAGACATACATGGACCTGTGTAGGTTTTTAAAATAAATGTATACAATCAAAGCTTTTCTCTTTAAACAGATGTATTCATGAATAAAGACCCCATTTCCACAATACCTGTGTATTTTATTTTATCCTGTACTGAGGAAATTCATGTTTTGTAAAATATTTCTTTTATGTAAAACAATGTTATTTAAAAAATCCTAAATTACTCAGAAGTATTAAGTATTTCCTAAAGTGTCAAATGCAGTTAATTCTAAGTATTTGTGAAGTTAATCATGCAGTGATTTAAACAGCAGAATGTACAGTAAGTTGTGTGTTGTCGTGGTACCTCGTGTTAGTACAGTACATTTATCGCTAACTGTGAACGGCACCAATCTTTTAATTCTGTGCTTCAGGTAGGAGAAGGCCTGCTTGAACGTCACAGTCAAATTATCGGGAAGCACCAAAGAACGCCAAAGACTGAATAAGGCTTAAGATCATAACGCTTAAATCATAAGAACACCTATTATATAAGACTGACATAGTAGTAAAGGGTGCCTTCATTGCGTCCTTATTATCACTTCTCAAGGTCTAGTCTCTAGCTGTAAATAAGATCTATATTGCATTTTAAAACCGGGAAGAACATCTGAAAATTTAAATAGTGATAGTTTTTTTTTTTCAAATCCCTACAAACAAAATGTAACAACCCATGTGGTCATTAAAACTTCCCCAAGGCAGCATAAAGCATCTTATGTTGTCGTATCTTTACACGAGTCCCAGTTATTATTCACAATAGTTCCGCATATTAACATAAAACTGAACTGAAACTGTAAAATTAACCGTTGTTTGAAACGTTTACACTTGGATAAAATGAGATTTATACCTATGTCTGGTGTAGATTATACCAGCAGTAAATACATAATTAGTCACAGGAAAGGCAGGTAGACGAACGAAGACTCATGACAGCTGAGTACCCCACGTACCCAGAAGACACTGCGCGGTAGCGCGGGTTCGCTCGAGCCCGACTAATGTTGTGACGTCTCGCTCACTCTCTGACATCGATTAACGCGGCCTGTCGGCGGCAGCCTGGATCGAGGTAGATCGACTCGAGTCGGAGTGAGCGCTGCCACAAAGCGGAATTTTAAAATACGACGGCCTCGACGAGCACAAGTAACTGCTGTCGAAAGGTCGCCAAGTCCTTTAGTTGCTCTCTTAGCTCGTGTACTGGACTGTACATTTACCGGGGGACGGTTTTTGCCTACCTGATAAAGAAGGTATGTGTTGCGTCGAAAGGAGGACTCTGAGTTCCTGCGTCTAGGGCTCGCACGAAGGTAGCCATTTTGAACGCCGTGTGTTGTGGAGTTGCTAACATATCGCCGAGGTCTGCACACCTAAATTCGGCCTTATATATGAACACGCGCAGTATTAATAAGAAGTGTGCCTGGCATTTGATAAAAGGAAATGTAAAGCAGAGCGAAGCGCGTTTAACTTGCTCCGTGTTCATGTAACCATCCACCTAGCTACATGAATGACATGTCAACACTTGACACTTAGCTAGTCACCTAAGTTACCAAGTTCACAAGTTTTGGATAACCGCCAGATTCACGCTAATTATTGCCCGTTAATAGCTTTTTACACTATTGTTCGCCGACTAGGCGCCGGCTGTGTCAAGTGAATATCTAACTATGATAGCTGGTATTGTTTACGGCCGCGCCAGTTCGTTAAATAGGCTGCGAAGCGGAGCTGTGTCTGGGGTAAACGGTGACCCGACGCTCGCTAAGGCTTCACAGATAGTGTCGTCGACAAAATAATAGTCGCTTGCGTTTTTCTGTGTGTGAATGCGGTTTGTTTGCTTGGGAATAATAGGATTTTGACGGTTAGTTGAATTTCAAGAGGCGTAGGAAAGCGGACGTACTACGTTGCCAAGCTCTTCACACGTGTTGAAGTGCCACACAAACTTACTGTCAGCAGCTGCGGTTCAGGTTTTACGTTCAGACCCTGTATTCGGTTAACTGTAAAATACAAGTTCTCAAAATAATCGGGTATTATTACATTTGTTTACACTCTATATAGGTTCTGAACATATGCCTAAGATCGCGTATAAAGCTTATGTCCTCTGTGATTTGGAGCCGGACTGGAGCTAAGCGTTTTCTTGCTTTTGCTGTGTAGTTGAGTGGAAAAACAAACGAATGTATTTTTGTCTTCACGTGTACTCCTTAAAATAACTGTACATGTGCTTTGAAATTATCCAATTCCCCACCGCTTAGGGTTTGAATGGAAAATCGAAGTACACATAGGGTTAAATGTATTGATTTAAAAGGCATTCATTTAATTTTCTAACGTATATTGGTCGTAAATACCCAGACATGAGTGTTACTTAATTTTATTTCATTTATGAAGCTAGGCTACCGGAATTCTGTTCATCCTGACGTTTATTATAATACACGTAACTGCAGTGTATACGAAAATGTTAGGTATGATTCATGTTTGATGTGGGGTTTAACAGAAATACAACTAGCGAAATTTGGGGGGGTTCATGAATGAATGCATTGTTTATGCGAAGGAAGACCCTGCTGAACAGTGCCTTATGACCTCAGCGGAGTAATTACAGGAACTGTAGTTGTTTATGTGAACTGGCAGTTGACCCACTCCTCTCCAGCCACAGACTTTTTTTAAATGGATGTACAGTGTTTTGAATAGTTTTTTTTAAAACAAACATTTCATTTGCATTTATCTGATAAACTCCTGCAACAGACCATCAACACAATTTCAACTGAATGCAAATACCAAAATTACCTTCAAGAAGGATTCCATCATACTATATAATTGTATATAATATATAATTTATATTAATTACATTTGCGTGTCTGACAATTGATAACTCTAAAGGGTTAAATTTGTTCTAGACAGATGGAGGATAAAATGCTGATAATTTCTATTAAGGCGTTATCTGTAGTAGGAAAATACTTTTGGCTTGTAGTTTAAACATGATTGAAGCAGCAATGGGCATTCAGTGTAAGACAGTGGTGGCCAATCTTATCCGCAAAGGGCCGGTGTGTATGCGGGTTTTCGCTGCAACTCCCTAATTAGATTACTAATTAGAGGACTGATTGGCTGAAGAGTCCTCACACCTGGGTTTGAACAGCTGACCTACAGGTTATCCCAAAAACCTGCACACACCGGCCCTTTGTGGATAAGATTGGCCACTGCCGGTATAAGACAAGGGAGAGAGTCACTTTGAGAGGCTGAAAACTTGATTAGCTGCCTTTGGTTACCTGGGTGGCAGGTGTAGCTGGGAGAGTGGTGGTGGAAAGGACCATAACCAGCAGCTGAAGTTGGGGAAATGGGGGCTGTGGAATAGGCTTGTCAATAGCCATGTATACTCTTAATCACTTCTGTTCACTTGGAAAAATGGGGTTTGTCATTTGGTGATGACTCTTAGGTTTTTTGTTTGAAAATTGCATTCTTTGCAGTGATACAGAAATCAAGGTGCTGACTTGTGTGGGGAGAGATCTTAAAAATAACAGGTGGACGTCTAGACAGAGAAACCTATGAGTAAAAGAAGTGCGTCAGGAAGTAGAGGTGTAAGTTACGTAGGTGATGGTCGGCACTGTCACCGTGTATATATACTTGGATTTCAACTTGTGTTCTTTTTAGCGTTCTTTAACATCCCAAGTGCATGAATCATCAAATGCTACACGGAGCATTATGAATAGGATCTCGAACAAATTGGCTATGGGGGCTGTTCCTGTCCTTGAGGGACACATCCTTACTGGTATTGTGTTAGCTGCCTTAGTGCATGATGTCACTGTTGTAATAATGACCTTAATAAGGGTCATTATCTCATTGCATGAAAAGCAGCCCACTCCACGTCTGCCTCCCCTCATTGTATCAAGGGCAGTAGCTCTAGACATTGCTGGGTGATAAGGCTTCATTGGAAGGATTTGAAGAATATATTAGGGCTGCATAATATAACACTTGGATTGAATCGTGATTATATTCAGATTTAATCGTGATTATATTCAGATTTAATCGTGATTATATCGCGCATGCGCAGTAATTATCAGGGCTTTAGATAATAGGTGAAACATTTGTGTGGACGCCAACTTTTCAGTACTATACAGAGGTTTACTTACGCCCACGCAGTACTTACGCAGATTAGTACTACATCTAAAATATTAATGGGAGGCGTATTGTGACGCCCAAAAGTTAGTAATCTGATAAATTCGGCGTATGTTTATTAAATTCATTTAGGGCGCTTTTCCACCGCACAAAGTACTGTACTTTCGCTTTTCCATTGACTTCTGGTCGAGAAACTGCATTTTCCAGCCTAAACTGTTAGTTTTAAGTTTAAGTTGTTTTTTTTTTTAATTATGATTTAAGCTACGCATTGTGACTGTCAGTCAGGGGCGGTCACTGATGTCATTTAGCGCCGGTACCATTTTTTATGCCAGTGGAAAACCGACACGAAAGAAGTACCATACTTTCGGCACTTTATGGAAGTACCGAAAGTATGGTACCTGGTGCGGTGGAAAAACGCCCTAAGCAGAGCATGCTGCATGCAAATTTTTTGGTAAATCATGGAAGCATAAACGCTAAAGTAGCACTGAAGAAAGGGACAACTTAATAGCCACAACGTCTTTTAAAAGAGGATAAACAAGGTAAAAGCATTGTGATGTACTGTGTAAAGTCAGACACATTTATTAAATGAAGACACTGAATTTATATAGATAACTAACTTTTGGGCATCAGAATATGCCTCTCAATATTTTAGGCGTACTACTAATCTGATTACCAAATTGCAGGTGTGAGTAAACGTGCATGCAGTACCAAAACGGCAGCATCCGGAGAAGTGTTATGGCCATTATCTAAAACTCTGGTGACTATTGCGCATGCACCCTATAATCACGATGTTACATTGTGCAATACTGCACAGCCCTAGAATATGTGTTTAGGAGTTAAATTAAATGTGGCCAACACACAGGAAGGTATTGAGCAAAGGTGATGTGCAGCAGGATATGGGGGGTGGGGTGGGGGGAGTTATCTGGAGAGCCAGAGAGGGGATGTGATCCGGAGGGCATGGGGCCGTCTGCTGACTTAGTAGCAGGTGGAGAGCAAGAAGTTCCGACACGGGCGGGAAATAGAAGATTGATTAGGAGACGGTCACCCAAACTGTGGATGACGTAATGGAAGATTTGTGCTGACACATAATTATATTAGACGCTACATTTAGAGGGTTTGCAGCATTTTGTCCTGGTGTTGTGTAGGCCAGTGCAGTTATGATTGATAGACAAATATGTGTGGACAATAATCTAATTATGCTCTCTTAAACTTAGGAGCCTGACTTAGCCAAGTTGAATTGGTTGTGAAGGCATGCAAATATGGTGAAGAAATTTATTTTGGAATATCAGGTATTAGGTCTCATCAGACACCTGCCTGCCAGCATTCTTGCAATCCTACTGACAGTGTTATGTAACTTGCGACGTCAGATGTGACGTGGTTCTGTTGATAAAGAGTTGCAGATGCTAAGCAGCATTATTACAGCTGTCAGCAAGGTGGCTGTTGTAATGATCATGTTGCTTTTTTGCTGGACAGTCATGACATTACATATCTGTCCCAAGTTTCCCAGCCTTCCTAAGTTGCTTTCTGTTTATAAACTAGGGATTTTACGTAATTGTCTCTTACAAATATGCAGCAAACTCATAACAATGGTATATGTTGTATGGAAGGGGAATTGGCTTACTCGTGGAAGGTTTTTTTTTTTTTGGTTTTGGGGTTTTGGTGTGATCAATGAATCTGTACTTATCCTGTGAGTCAGGGGATCTCTGCCTTTTCATATTGATAAAAGAAGCAAGCAGCACAAATCAAAGGCTTTTTTCTTGCTTTTCTTGTGTTTTTGTTGTTGCTTTTTTTTTTTTTTACATTGTGGCTTGTGTTGTTGACCCCCCCCCCCTCCTTTTTTGTTTCTAGGGATCTTGCCATAATCAGGTGTGAATCATCCGTGAAAATGCTCTGGAGAAGGGTGGATTATTTTTTTCTTTAAAGACGAAATTTATTCTGAAGAAACCAACCTTGAACAATAGTGCCCAGCTCACACTACCCCCTGTGCTTTCAATGTAAACCGCTGCTTTGAGCAGAAATATGAAGGGTCAGCAGAGTGTGCATTTCCTAACTACTAAACCTTTTTTCAAAGTGTAGTATTTGCTTTCGGCCTAAGAGGTCTGTTGTGTTATGTACCACTTGCTCTGCCTGTAACATTTTATAAGCAGCTGGTCTATGGCATAACTACAGCCAAGCGCAGTCTTGGGATATGAAATAACTCAGACTTTCTCTGCATTAAACTGGAAACGTTCCCTGAACGATGTAATTGCCTTAAGTTTGTGTTTCTGATGCTGCCATGTGACTGGAAGTAGCCCCCCCCCACATTCGCCCCACAGCAGCTTCACGGCTTTTTTTTAATGAGGTGAATGTAGGTTTTTTTCCGGTGGTTTCTGTCAAGTGGGTAAGTGGTTTCTCCCCTCCCCCTTTTCTTTTTCATTTTTTTTTTCCTCTGCATGTGTGGCGGCAGAGATTAAAATGAGTCGGTGAAAGAGTGTCACGCCTTCAGAGCTAGCACACTGTGCGGCTGTCAGAGCTTCAGCTCCCTGCCACGGGCACTAGAGGGCAGCGGTGCCCTCAGACACTGCGGGCCATATCATACGGTGCTCCCAGTCCTGCTGTTACCCAGGAAGTATAGCAAAGCCCAGTGCACTCTTAGTTCTGTCAGGATTCACTGGAAGACCCAACGCTAATGGCATTTTGAGCATCTGTTTGTGCTACGCTGCCATTCATCCCGTTTTCACGCTCCTCGTTCCCTGCCCCCCCCCCCCCCCGCCCACCCACCCACCACTGTCACACTGTGCCCCGAGACACTGTCATCCGGCTGACGGTCCAGCACGCCCTACCTTCTGCTGGCCGCCACAGACTGCTCACTCGTGGACAGTAGTGCGTGCCGCTGCATTTTGCTGGGGCCCCGGCGGCCACTGCTTTTGGGACCTCGGCTGGACCCGTGATACCTGACTGGGAACAAGGAAGAGGACGCCCCTGAAGCTCAGAGCCCGGCACTCTGGGTAAGACGGCTGTCCTGCTCTGATGCCTGTGACACACTTCGGAAAACATGCTGTTCTGATCTGAAAAGAATGGTGCCGTCTGATTGAAGTCAGATACCTTTTAGCATAAAGGTGCCTGACGGTGTCTCAGCCTCAGCAGCTGGGCAGATGCCCATAGGCTACAGTTAAAGTAGTAAAAAAAATGGTGGCTTGTTTCCAGACTTTTTCTCCAGTGGCGGGAAAACCTCAGTGTTATTTCACATACTTCTAGATCCTGGCCATGAGGTTTGACGCCTCGATCATCTGACTGGAGACACTGGACCTAAATGGCGCAGCATGACTTTGTTCCTTCCTGGCTTAATTTTTCTACGCCCCAATCAGCCAAGGTGAGGCATATGGGTGGGGGGGAGGACACCCCCACATTGGGCAGGGGACTCTGTATGGCCTGTTGGTTGGTTGTTTGGCTGGCCAGGGGACATTGCAATGTACATTCACTCTATGCACTGGAAGAATTTTGAGAAGCTGATTTAAACAATAGAGAATATTTCAGTTAGTTTTGAATGCTGTAATTTGCCACAAGGGTCATCGTCGCTTATGGCTTTTGTTAATCACATTGCGCCCCCGGTTGAGTTGCATCGATGACAGCGCCCCCGAGTGCCTAAACAGGTGCTGCGTGGGGCAGAAAATATAGCCAACCTGCAAACTGGGCTCTATGGGACAACAGGCCGCTTGAGTGGGATTTGCTCTGAATGCTACTAGTTTGGCTTCTGCAATTTTGTCCTTTGGTGTCCTTGAACTAAGCATTTGGTTTTTTGGATTGTTAGCCGTGCTCCAAACGCCACCGCCTCAGTATATATGTCAGAGGTGGCTTGACTTGGTCTGCATGTTGAAGTAGCCATTCCTGAATTTACCTGCCCCTCCCACCATCCCGGTTTCAGAAACATGGGGAGCCCCTTAGCCGTGGAGATGGGAGGCACCGAGTGAGTCGGCGTCGCCACAACTCCTCTGATGGCTTCTTCAACAACGACCCACTGACGGCCACGGCAGGTCAGTCCTGGGCGGCGTCCCTGTGAAGGCCTCAGTCTGTAGGCTGGTTTCACCACCTGGTTGCTTTATGATGTAAATCTTAAACTGGGCCTTCCATATGTCTGACTGCTGCTGTGCCTGAAATTAGCTCTCACATTATGAAACCATCAGATTAACTTTATATGTTTGACAGCTTAGATAGGAGCTCCATGTTTTGTTTGGTCATGGGTTTGTTTTTGGAAGCTCAGACGTTGTGGGGTTTTTAGATGGTCACTGACTGTCCCTGGTTCGCAGGTGATGGGTGGCACCAACCGTCACTCCTGCGCCACGACTCCGTGGACTCCGGCGTGTCGAAGGGCAGTCAGAGCGGACTGGCTGGTGCGTCAGCCTCCGTCTGGCAGGGGGCGCCGTGGCCCCAGGAGGGGTCTGTGTCTCACCATCACCACGGCCGGCACCCTAAACGGGGAGGAGGGGACCGGGACCGGGATCGGGACAGGGACAGAGACCGTGCTGCTGGACACCGGCAACGCAATGGCAACTTCAACCCCCGCAAGGGCAACTCCATCCAGGAGAAGTTCTCAGATGAGGAGCACAAGGAGGACAGACTGAAGTTTGTCGAGGAGGACTTTGTGAGTAATGTCAGACGTCCATCAGATTTAAACAGCAGCAGAAAACTGATATTTTGCTGCACGTTCCCTTGAAGAAGCTATGGGTTACCTATGTAAGGGTGATTTTAAAAAATAAATAAATATAAAATATATATTTATATATATAT